GACAGAAAGAATATGTGTCTGCTCTCTGTGAGAGCCAGTGAACAACAGAAACAAAGAAACAGGAAACCAGTAACATCAACAGCTGTCTCCTGTGAGACTTCCAGCAGTCTGGAATGTCAACAGAGTCTTGTGACTCCCAAAACTGCACAGTGGCATAACAGAAATCTAACATCTTGGACGCCTGCAGGCCCACTGCTGGCCCAAATGGTCTGCCTGCCATCTCCCCCTCAGCTGTAGGCTGGCTGAGTGGGAGGAGATAAGAAGACTCCTCGGAGGCCCCACGGAACGTCCTGCCCCGGGTGGCGCCGCCCCATAAGCAGCTGGCCCCGCCCCTGGGCGCAGGGCTTGCGCGCCACCCCAGGCACCCAATCGGCTTGCTCCGCCGTTGAGTGGGGACATAGGTTCCGGGAGGGGAGTTGATCACAGTGACGGTTTGCCAAGCGTGCCTTCTTCTTAGCTCATTTCTCCCTTTCGTCCTGAGTTCAAGCATCTTCAAAGCCCATGACACCTTTGGTAATGGCTGTTCTCCAGTTGGAGCGCTCACAGGCAAGTGTTTCCCAGTTGTCAGTGTTTATACTACATTTTTTTAGATTTGCCTGGAGAGAGTTTTTGAACCTCTTTTGTTTGTTTTGTATTCCACAAGTGTAGAGGGAGAAGGCGAGGTGAAATGGAAGCAAGCGGGTGGGGGCGGGACCATGCTGGGGAGATTGCTTCAGTTGCACCACTGTAATCCAACCTTCGAGAGCCAGTGTGGTGTCGTGGTTAAGAGCGGTAGTCTCGTAATCTGGGGAACCGGGTTTGAGTCTCCGCTCCTCCACATGCAGCTGCTGGGTGACCTTGCGCCAGTCACACTTCTTTGAAGTCTCTCAGCCCCACTCACCTCACAGAGTGTTTGTTGTGGGGGAGGAAGGGAAAGGAGAATGTTAGCCACTTTGAGACTCCTTAAAGGGAGTGAAAGGCGGGATATCAAATCCAAACTCTTCTTCTCTTCTTCGTGGAGAGCGATTGGTTGGGGCAATAGAGGAAGCTTGGTAAGTGAAAGGCCTGTAAGGTCCATGTGTTCTATTTTTCAGAGGACAGTATTTCATTTGAAGGGGTCCTCGATTTGAAGGGATATTTCGTCCTCTCCTAGTTTTAAAGTTAAAGAATTATAAAAAAGAGATGAGGAGCAGGCCTTCACGCTGAGACAGAAACACAGAATTGAAATTTTGTGGTTTTACATTTTGATTTTGTTCTGTGAACCGCTCTGAGACCTCCGGGTATAGGGCGGTATAGAAATTCAATTAACAACAACAACAGCTCAAGAATCCCTGACAGATGCCCTTCCAACCTGTTTGGACAATCTTCAGTGAAGGCAGTTGCATACTGAGAGGACCAGGAATTTGGTGGCAAAGCCGATTCATTCTATGCAGAAGGATCTAGATCCAGTTCATGGAATCATAGGATTGTAGAGCTGGAAGGGACCCCAAGGGTCATCTAGTCCAACTGTCCACAATGCAGGAATCTCAGCTGAAGCATCCATGGCAGATGGCCCTCCAACTTCTGATTAAAAGCCTCCAAGGAAGGAGATTGCAGGTCTTTCAAAGAGCAGGACTGGGAAGGTCCTTCAGAGAGTTGCCAAACTGAGATTCCACTCACAGCCGACCAGACTGAGATCATTCATGGTCAGCAAGGTGGAGCGGGTGGGGCAGCATTGCTCTCCTGGCTTCTTAACTCACCAGGAGAGGTGAGATGCATGGAGCTTGGTCTGGTGTAACACATGGCGGTGGAGCCAATCCAACATTTCCACCATGCATCGTACCAAAGTTCTTCCACCCCTTTCATCATTTTGGTTTCCCTTTTCTGACCCTCTTCCAGCTCTGCAACATCATTTTTTAAGTAGGATAGGTCTCTAAGGTGCTACTGGACAATTTTTTTAATTTATCATTTTTTTTAACTGAGGCAACCAGTACTGTACACAGTACAGTCATACCTCATCTTACGTTTGCTTTCAGGTTTTGCCGCTCGCGCATGCACAGACATGCAAAATGATGTCACACGCATGCACAGATGCAGCAAATCGCAACCCGCGCGTGCACAGACTCGCCGCTGTGGGTTGCGTTCCTTTCATGTTGTGAACGGGCCTCCGGAACAGCTCCCGTTCGCAACCAGAGGTACCACTGTATTCCCAGTGTTCAAAATCCCCCAGGTGCCTTTTGTTACTGACCTGGGTCCAACTGCAACTACGTGGAAATTTCTGGGCACCAAGTGGGTGACCACAGTTTAAAAAACCTCCATCTTAGTCCAGAGTTAATACCATTTCCATTTCCACTATGTGTGTTTCTTCTTCTTGCATACTGGGACAAGTGAATTGTTGTAAGTGCAAGCTACAGTCAAGCAATGTAGTTCAGATCAAAGAACTGTAGAATTGTAGCATTGGGCGGTATCTCAAGGGTCATCTGGGCCGACCCCCGGCAAATAGGCATTCCATTGTGGCGACCGCAACTGAGTTTAAGGTGACATTTGGCACCTAGCTTATATATCTGAGTTCCTAACAATGAGTATTTCAAGTGTGGTTGCCCCATAGACTTGAATAACAGCATTAGGAAGAACTTTCTGATAGTAAGAGCTGTTCGGCTATGGAATACCTCAGAAGGTAGTGGACTCTATTTCCTTGCAGGTTATTAAACAGAGGTTGGGTACCATCTCTGATTACTGTGGGGGGCTGGACTAGATTCCCCTTGAGGTCCCTTCTAGCTCTCCAATTCTATGCTTCTCTGTTTCTGTTAAAACTGTTCAGTTTTATTTCCAGTCTCTCTGCTAAGGAGAATGCTGCTCCTCATCTCAATCTATAATATTAATAATAATTTTATTGTTTGCACCCCACTCATCTGGCTGGGTTTCCCCAGCCACTCTGGGGGGCTTCCGGCAAAGTATAAAAAATAATAAAATGTCAGATATTAAACAGGGCTGTCTTCAGATGCTTCCCAAAAGCTGTGAAATTCTTTAACTCCCTGACATCTGATGGGAGGACGTTCCGCAGGGTGGGCACCACTGCCGAGAAAGCCCTCTGCCCTCAAAAGCAAATGTTTGTACATAGGATGGGATTAAGAACAGTGTGGAGGGAACGGCTGGAAGTCAAAGTTTAAAGAGAAATGTATAACAAATTTGGAATCTGGAATATATATGTAAAGTTTAATACAAATTTGATTCCGAATGTCAAAAAAGCTTTGTGTGCCTCAAAGCCTTTTCCTCCGGCAGCAGCAGAAGCAATTGAGAACCTGGAATGTGAGCAAGACGGTCTTAATTTCATCTCCGACAGGGAGTGACCACAAACCGAGTTCAGTCCGGCGAAACCCAAAGCATTCCCACCCAGCGCTCCCAACAACACGCTGCGGGGCTGCCTGCAGACATTGTCCAGCTCCTTCAAACTTTTTGCAAGCCTCAGCAAACTCTCCGGGCGAGGGAGGGACCAGTTATAGATGGCTTGCAGCTGTAATGACTTTCACCTGCATTAGGGTTCTCGTTCCCGAGGTTTTCCCACAGCTCCACTCAGAGCTTGAATGGCAACGTTTAGATCCCATTTCCTCTGCGCTCAGAAACCACTGCCAGCTTGAAATTTCCGAAGGAGGGGTGAAATCCCCAAAAAGGGTGTTACTTTTTTTCTGTATGCCACAACAGCTGCAAGAACATTGTTAGTGAAGAATTGGAAGAAACAAGATTTACCAACTATCAAAGAATGGCAGATGAAGATGATGGACTATATGGAACTTGCCGAACTGACCGGGACACTCCGAGACCAGAGAGAAGAGACGGTGGAAGATGACTGGAAGAAGTTTAAGGAATATTTGAAAAAATATGTCAATATTTAAACCTTAGAATAGCTTTGGAAGTAGATATAGGCTGTAGGGTTAGAAGTAGAAGATAGGGTATTTTAAAACAGTATTATTTGTAAGTGATAAAATGTGAAGTTATTTTAAGTATGATTTTTAAAAAAGATGGTTAGAAATTATGATATATGTAAACTGCTAAAGATGAAGTAAAATGATAGGTGGGACTTGGGGAAGCCAACTTAACAATGTTTAGAAAAACAAAGGATATGACAAGAATTTGTTCGCATTGTTTGTCTTTTCTGTCTGTGTTTTTTATTTGTGTTATAAAATGATTTTTAAAAAATTGGGGGGGGCAATGAAATTTCAGAAGGAGGGAGGTGGACTGGTGCTCCTTTGCCCTTCGAGCACCGGAGGAATCCTGGCAACTGGCAGGGACCCTGCCCTCTGGCCTCGGACACCTCCTGTGTCAGAAATTTGCTTGGGCAGCCGCACAGAATCATAGGGTTGGAAGGGACACCAAGGGTCATCTAGTCCAACCCCCCGCAATGCAGGAATCTCAACTATAGCATCCATGACAAATGGCCATCCAACCTCTGCTTAAAAAGGACGGAGTGGGAGACCATTCCACTGCTGAACAGCTCTTACTGTCAGAAAGGTTTTCCTGGTGTTTAGTCGGAATCTCCTTTCTTGCAACTTGAAGCCATTGGTTCGAGTCCTACCCTCCAGAGCAGGAGAAAACAAGCTTGCTCTCTCTTCCAACCCTTGAGATATTTGAAAATGGCTATCGTATCTCCTCTCAGTCTCCTCTTTTCCAGCTCCTTCATAAGGCTTGATTTCCAGGCCTTTGATCATCTTGGCTGCCCTCCTCTGCACATGTTCCAGCTTGGTCAACATCCTTCTTAAATTGTGGCACCCAGAATTGGACACAGGATTCCAGGTGTGGTCTGACTAAGGCAGAATAGAGTGGTGCTATTACTTCCCTTGACCTGGACACTATTCTTAGAATAGCCTCTAAGTGGTGGGAAATCTCAGCACATGTTCTCTCTCTGCTGGTGCAATGGGAACATAGGAACGTAGAAAGGTGCTTTATCCCAAGTCAAGCCATTGGTCCATATAGCTCAGTAATGTCTACTCTGACTGGCAGCAGCCCTCCAGGATTTCAGGCAGGGAGTCTCTCCCAGTCCTTTTTAGACAGGCCAGGGATTGAACCTGGGACCTCCTGCTTGTAAGTCAGATGCTCTACCACTGAGCTACGGCCCTTCCCCACAATCTAGAACCATCAATGAAATATACTCGGAGTCGAGAGTGGATTTCATGCTCTTTATTCAGCTCATAGTGGTGAGGAGGAATGGAAGTTCCCCAGAACATCTGCTTTATATACATTATTTACACAATGGGCCCCACGTGATTGGCTAATTCCGGGATTCACCTGTAGGCCAATCAGGTTGCGGATTCACTTCAACCGGAAGCTGGATTGGGTGGCTCCTGTGGACCAATCAGGCTGCTCCATTCTGGATCCTATTGTTCTAGGACCAATCAGACTGCTGCATCCTGAATCCTATTGTTCTAGGACCAATCAGACTGCTGCATTCTGAATCCTATTGTTCTAGAACCAATCAGACTGCTGCATTCTGGATCCTATTGTTCTAGAACCAATCAAGCTGCTCCATTCTGAATCCTATTGTTCTAGGACCAATCAGGCTGCTCCATTCTGAATCCTATTGTTCTAGGACCAATCAAACTGCTGCATTTTGGATCCTATTCAACTCAGTACAAAACAATCAAAATCCATTTCCAAACAGACGTGCACAGGAGCCTGTTATTTCAGGGCTGCGGCAAAAGCTGTTGCGCCTTTTCTCCTACCATGCATGGTGTTAGCTAGGAACAGGCAAATCTGTCGATTTCAGTTTTGCAGCCTAAGAATGTAAAAATTGCCCTGCTGGATCAATGGCCCAATGGCCCATCTAGTATAACATCCTATTTTCACAGTGGCCAACTAGATGCCTGTGGCAAAGCCCTCCAGCGGGGCCTGAGTGCGAGAGCATTTTCCCCACCTGTGATTCCCAACAACGGGCAAGGAAACAGACTAGTTTTGCAGCTTGTGGACTCTCCTTCCGTGGAGGTTTTCAAGCAGAGTTTGGATAGCCATCTGCCATGGATGCTTCACCTGAGATTCCTGCATTGCCAGGGGGGTGGAATAGATGATCCTCAGGGTCCCTTCCAAGTCTACAATTCTATGATTCTGTGAGGCATGTTCGGTTGAGAAACAGCAACTGCTCTGAGTCTACCCAGTGCTCATCATGGCTGAGTGAGGATTTGAAGCCGACTTCCTCTGGTCACAAATCTGCTGCACTAACCACTACACCACACTCCCTCTGCCTAGATTTCAGTGATTCTACTGTGTGGCATATCTAACACTTGATTTTTAAAGCTCAGAGCTCAGGTCCACATCCATATTAAGCTCTGGCCTCTAAGAAGAGCCAATGTGGTGTAGTGGTTAAGAGCGGTAGACTCGTAATCTGGTGAACCGGGTTCGCTTCCCCGCTCCTCCACATGCAGCTGCTGGGTGACCTTGGGCTGGTCACACTTCTCTGAAGTCTCCCAGCCCCACTCACCTCACCTCAGTGTTTGTTGTGGGGGAGGAAGGGAGAGGCGAATGTTAGCCGCTTTGAGACTCCTTCAGGTAGTGATAAAGCGGGATATCAAATCCAAACTCTTCTTCCTCAACGCTGCTCTCCTCGCTTGTGCTCCCCAGCCAATGACATTCAGAGGCATATTTCCTCCAACACTGGAGGGAGGGAGTGCAGCCATCATGTCTGCTCGCTTTCTCCTCCATTAATTTGCCTTTAAACTTTAAATCTAGGTTGGCAGCTATCTAAATCCCATGGGAGCAAATTCCAAAATTTAAACTGGTATGCAGGCTGAGACCCTCCCTGCCCATGGAGTGTCCCACCAGAGTGGTGCATGCTCTGGTTATCTCCCGCTTGGACTACTGCAATGCGCTCTACATGGGGCTACCTTTAAAGGTGACCTGGAAGCTACAACTAATCCAGAATGCGACAGCTAGACTGGTGACTGGGAGCGGCTGCCGAGAACTACGTAGGCTCCCAGTATGTTTCCAAGCACAATTCAAAGTGTTGGTGCTGACCTTTAAAGCCATAAACGGCCTCAGCCCAGTATACCTGAAGGAGCGTCTCCACCCCCATCATTCAGTCCGGACACTGAGGTCCAGTGCCGAGGATCTTCTGGCAGTTCCCTTCTTGCAAGAAGTGAGAGTACAGGGAACCAGGCAGAGGGCCTTCTCGGCAGTGGCACCCGCCCTGTGGAACGCCCTCCCATCAGATGTCAAGGCAATAAGGAACTACAGTCATACCTCGGGTTGAAGTAGCTTCGGGATAAGTATTTACGGGTTGCGCACTGTGGTGTCCCGGAAGTAATGAACCACATCACTTCCGGGTTTTGCCGCTCGCGCATGCACATACAGTCAAAATGATGTCACGCACATGCACAGAAGCGGCAAATTGTGACCCGTGGATGCGGGTTGCGTTCACTTCTGGATGCGAACAGGGCTCTGGAACGGATCCCGTTCGCATCCAGAGGTACCACTGTACCTGACTTTTAGAAGACATCTGAAGGCAGCCCTGTTTAGGGAAGTTTTCAATGTTTGGTGTTTTATCGTGTTATTAATTCTGTTGGGAGCCACCCAGAGTGGCTGGGGAAATCTAGCCAGATGGGCAGGGTATAAATTATTATTATTATTATTATTATTATTATTATTATTATTATTAAATTATCTGCTGTGTGAAGAAGTACAGTGGTACCTCGGGTGAAGTACCTTCGTTCCGGAGGTCCGTACTTAACCTGAAACTGTTCTTCACCTGAAGCACCACTTTAGCTAATGGGGCCTCCTGCTGCTGCCACGCTGCTGGAGCACGATTTCTGTTCTCATCCTGAAGCAAAGTTCTTAACCTGAAGCACTATTTCTGGGTTAGCGGAGTCTGTAACCTGAAGCGTATGTAACCCGAGGTACCACTGTACTTTCCTTCATCTGTCCTGAATTTTCAGATATTTGTCTCCGCTGGATGTCAAGAAAGAAAAAGAAAAAGAAAAGCTCCCCTCTATCCATTTTTCATCCAACATTCAACTTCATCTCTTCATCTGGCAATATTGTTCTAAGGAGCAGCTACGTGAAATGCATTCTCGTTGCCAATTTCCATTCTCCCTTCCTTTCCTCTCCCTTCCCCACACCGAACCCACCACTTATTTGGGTTGCTTTCCCCCCCCCCTCCTCCTCCACCCTTGGTTGCATACTTCCCTCTCCCCCCACCCCAATCCCCCCCCCCATCTTCCCACACCTCACCTCATCCATTTGAATCAGTTTTGCTTACCCCATTTTACCACGGGCAGGAAACCATATAAATGTAACATCCTCCCGGGAGGTGAAATAAACATAAACATCTGCTCTGCAAATTCCCTCGCAGTGCAGCGTGTGCGTGGCATTAGAATGGACCCCAGGCTGCGAGGAGCAAAGCCAGCCTCATAAACAAAGCTCAGAGCATAAAAGGAGAGGGTCCAGCCTCAGCAGTCCACGTTTGGGAGCTGAGCATCCCTTCTTGGCCCTGTCAAGTGAGGGTGGGAAGCCGCTGTGCTCTGGAGGGCAGGTGGAGAGCAGCGGAGGGGCACGAAGGCAGGCATGGGCTGGTGGTGAGTGGTATGTACACATGTGCAGGTCATGGGGATGTGCATGGCTGTTGTTGTTGTTTGTGTCCGACTCTTTGTGATTCCATGGACCAGAGCACGCCAGGCACTTCTGTCTTCCACTGCCTCCCGCAGTTTGGTCAAACTCATGCTGGCAGCTTCGAGAACACTATCCAACCATCTCGTCCTCTGTTGTCCCCTTCTCCTTGTGCCCTCCATCTTTCCCAACATCAGGGTCTTTTCCAGGGAGTCGTCTCTTCTCATGAGGTGGCCAAAGTATTGGAGCCTATCTTCAGGATCTGTCCTTCCAATGAGCACTCAGGGCTGATTTCCTTCAGAATGGAGAGGTTTGATCTTCTTGCAGTCCATGGGACTCTCAAGAGTCTCCTCCAGCACCATAATTCAAAAGCATCAATTCTTTGTCGATCAGCCTTCTTTATGTTCCAGGTCTCACTTCCATACATCACTACTGGGAAAACCACAACTTTAACTATACAGACCTTTGTTGGCAAGTTGATGTCTCTGCTTTGGAGACATCACCTTGCCAACAAAGTAATAAGAGAGTAATAATAATAATAATTTATTAATTATACCCCACCCATCTGGCTGGGTTTTCCCAGCCACTCTGGGCAGCTTCCAACAGAATATTAAAATACAATAACCTATTAAACATTAAAAGCTTCCCTAAACAGGCCTGCCTTCAGATGTCTTCTAAAAGTCTGGTAGTTGTTTTTCTCTTTGCCATCTGATGGGAGGGCGTTCCACAGGGCAGGCGCCACTGCCAAGAAGGCCCTCTGCCTGGTTCCCTGTACAATTCTATGATTCCATGAATAACTGTACAAGGACATAGCTCATAGGATTGTATAGTGTGCACTCACTGAAGGCAATGTGTGAACATCCCTGGTGAAGTCTTTTTTAATTTGTGGCCTGACTGATCAAGCCAACCAAAGCCACTTATTTTGGCTTCCCAGTGGCTTGATGAAACTCCTGCTTGTGATATATGACTGGGGCAGCAAAACCAGGGCAGCTGTCAAGAAACTGGCAGACCACAATGCATTGGACTTGGTGGGTCAGAATTTGTGCAGATTTGGTCTGAACCCATTGCATGACCTCAACTTCATTTCATTTCCCTGATTGGAACTTTTTTCAGCTACAGTCCCTCTCGGAGCACAACTTCCTCTCATTTCAAGCAAGTTTAAATTCATGACTGTATCCAGACTTGCAGGTTAAAGTTACCAGAAAATATGCTGGTTATCTTCTTCTTCTTTTTTGTATGAGTAGTATTATTACTATTAGTCTCTTGATTTGTATCTTAATTGAATAATAAGAGCAATGGGAATATTGCTTCTTTTATCTACAAGGCTCTGTAAATACAACGGGCCTCTGAAAAGCTCACACTATTATTATGGGAAGTCATTGCTAATTGTACACATATGCCAGCGAGAGAACATTTCTTTCTTTCTTTTTTTAATACAGCTCATAACTAGTTGTTACAATAAAGACATTGTTTCCAGTCCAGATCTGGGCAAAAATACAGCTTTTCCTCCTCCTTACGTTTTGTAAAC